AAAAGTGTGGCCTTATCAACAACAGAAGCTGAATACATGGTAGTTGCTGAAGCCAGTAAAGAGCTAGTATGGTTAAAGACTTTTCTTGAAGAACTTGGGAAAAAGCAAGCTGATTACTCGTTACACTGTGACAATGAGAGTGCAGTGAAACTTGCTAAAAATCCAGTCTATCATGGGAAAACAAAGCACATTGGGATGAGGTATCACTTTGTCAGAGGACTGATCAGTGATGGTACGATGAACTTGAAGAATATCTCAGGTGCAAAGAATCCAGCAGACATGTTCACCAAGTCTGTGACGCTGGATAAGCTGAAGTTCTGTATGACTTCAGCCGGCGTTCAGGAATAATGTTGAGAAGGCAGGTGGCAACTAGGGGAGCTCAAGCTCGGTTGGTGTTTACAGAAGTTCTGAGGAGTGCAGGTGAACGTGTTTCGAAGCCTCCAAGTGGGAGATTGTTGGAATGTAGGCTTCGGTCTACTAAGTTAGACAAAAGGGAGGAGGCATAAAGTAAGGAGCCGGCCCTAGCCCAAAAGGAGCCGGCCCTAGTCTCTACCCTAGTTTCCTTATTAGGAGATAACCCTAATTATGTTTGTCTATATATATTAATCTCATTGTACTTGTAAACATTTGTAGCACCTAAATAAAGAAAAACCTAGTTGCCCCCTGTGGACTAGCACGATCAATCTGATCGTGTGAACCACGTAAATTCTTGTGTTCTTCTCTTGTTTTTGGGTTGTGCGTAGGGTTGTGCGTATTGCGTGTGTAACGTTTGTCCTAACACATGCTAGGTGAACTGAGCACAAGAGAAGCTGCAGGGAAGGACATCTTGCTCTTTCCTTTCACCGGCTCAGATGTGTGCCCATATAAATCTTCAGTTGCATCTATATGGGCTTAACGAGAATAGACATCTCAATCTGTCAGATGTAAAGCTGTTTGCTAAAAAAATAACCTCTTGCAAGGCTGATTGGTTAAGAGACATACCTTCAATTAACCATTAAGAGGTTTGCTTGGCACGTCTTGTCCAAAATTTCAAGGCATGCATCTTGTAGGTTCATCTACTATAGGCAACTACTTGATCTTCATTCATCTTCTCCTTCAATTTTGATAAGTGCCAAAAGGTTGCTATTGGATCGTAATAGGAAATCACAATTATAGAGAAGATCAGCCTGGATTTAGCGAGCTCGAGAGCTAGGTTCTCTCGACAGTGAGAAATCTCACAGAAAAATAACATACCAGTCCTTCTTTCACCCTCATTTTATTCCAACTCCTAACCAATTCAAATGAAAATAGAAAAAGACCTTCCTACCCTTTCCCCATTAGAGCAAACTTCCATTTTTTAAACCCGTATCTCTCCCTTTCTTTCTAGAATACGTTTTGACTATTGGTGGCTTATCAATATTTCCCCCAATGAGTCACCTTGTCCTCAAGGTGAAACGAAGGAAATTGTTGGTAAATGACTTTGTAAGGCTCCCAGGTGTCGTCCCGTTCCGGTAGTCCTTTCCATTCGATTAACACCTCCACCTCATTATTTTGTCGAAAACGAACCACTTTCAACGTTTCTGGTTCGGTGTTCAACTCCCAATCGGTGCCTAAGGTCATCGGTAACGGTACTGAGTCAACGTGATCTCCCACAGCAGCTTTCAGTTGAGAAACATGGAACACCGGATGAATAGCACTCTCTGGTGGTAGTTGTAGATGATACGCAACCTTGCCGACTTGTTCAGTCACCACAAAGTGTCCATAAATATCAGGGTACCAACTTCACGTTATTGGTTCCCTCTATGGTCGATTGTCTATACGGTTCGCATTTTTAAGTAACTTTTGTACCGACATCAAACTCAATGTCTCAACCGTGTTGGTCCGCTGAGTCCTTCATTCGTTGTTGGGCTCGTAACAGCTGCCGCCGTAGCTCTTCTTTCATCTTGTCACAATCCATTGAAAGCTGATCCACGGCTGCGTTGGTCGGCTCTCCTATTGGAAAAGGCACGATGCAGGGTGGTTCTCGTCCATACAACAGCTGAAATGGAGTTGCTTTACCAGCCGAATGGAAGGACATATTTCAATACCCTGCCTGTGGTAGCCAAACTACCCATTTCCTTGGTTGTGCTCCGGCGAAGCAATGGAGGTATGTTAGAACACACCTATTAACCACCTCCGTCTGCCATAACTTCTCGGGGGATAAGCCGTACTATAGTTCAGTCTAGTGCCTTGCAAACACCATAATTCTTCCCAAAAATTGTTGACGTAGACCTCCCCCCGATCCGATACAATGGATTTCGGTATGCCATGTAGTCTTATCACTTCTTTTACAAACACTCGAGCGACGGTCTGAGCTGTAAAAGGATGTTTCAACTTGATAAAGTGGTTGTACTTTGTTTAACGATCGATAACTACAACAGGGTGTTGTACCCTTCTGATGTTGGGAATTCCAAACCTCGCCTTGCTCTTGTGACATGCTATGTTTCTCCTTTCTGTTCCCATGTAAAGGGTGAGTCCTATGCGTCAGTTTGTAGGCTTTCCACAAAGTCCTTAGATAAGTTTTCCATCTTCTTGAGTAATTTTTATATTCTCTTAGATGGAGAAGTATCAATCTTTGTGTCTTTATGTGTGTTATATCAGTTATTTGTTTCATTATCTCTTAAGCCTGTGAAGTCCTGCTATTTTCTTTGATACTATGTTTAAGGATGCTATAGGTCAATTATTTGTTTCTTCACTATTAATTCCATTAAATCCTGTTTTTGCTTCTGTCTTGATACTTTTATTGCAGGATGCCCTTGAGCTTGATCAGTTGATTAATCACTTGATAAACAAAGAAGATTCAGAAGGTGTTGTGCTGCTTGGGCATAGTACAGGCTGCCAAGTAAGTGCTTTTGCATTCTCTCTTAAACTTGCATATATTATGCATATTGCCCAAAATCAGGTAGAAGAGCTTATATGAATTACTTGCATGATTTTTTTAATAGGATATTGTTCATTACATGCGTACCAATGCAGCATGCTCTAGAGCTGTTCGTGCTGCTATTTTACAGGTATCACTTCCTCCATGCAACTGGGTTTTTATGTGAATGGTCTGGGCATTGTATAATTGAATGGTTCTTCATGTGGAAAGTGAGTGTTCTTGTAGTTTGTTTGAGTTATTTCCTTCAGTACGTCATCTACAATTTTCTTGTATACGAATCTACTTTACTTTCCCTAAATACACTTCCTATCTTTCTTGAACGTAATTGTAGATTCCTTTCATTGCGCCTGATTATAGGCCACCAATTAGATTCACGTATTGTAGAAGGGTCTGCACATAGAGTTTGGACCGAAGTTTATGTTAGTTGCTATTATTAGTCCTTTGCAATTGGTAGGTATAAATAAAAATACGCAAGCACATAGCCAAGCATCTGATTTGTATACCTAAGTTAAAACGTTAGCCTGGGAGATAACAGCTTCTCGGATTTCTGGAGTTATCTGTAGCCATTCGATCTCTATTGCTTCAGACAAATACAGTTCACCTTTGATACTCCAATTTATATCATCCTTTTATCGTCTTCTCTTCTCCGATTGATAATTATATGTACAAAATAAACCAGCCTACAGTATGGGAGATTTCAACACCAAACTTGTTGAACATCTTCTTGCTGGAGTCACTGAGATCAACTTCACCTAACATGAGCAACCATTAGATGCAGGATAATCTGTTGTCTATGCAAATCTGAAGCGTGAAAATGAAAGGCCTTTTCTAGAACAGTATGCAGATCGTGAAAAATTTCCTTTTATTTTTGGAGTTTGTTGAGCTGATAATATTTCAGATGTTAAGCTTCGAACCACATCAGTTTTGTAAATTATAAACTGCATGCCTGGTTCTAAATAGGGCCAAGCCTTATTAAGGTTGATTTAGAGAATATTCTTTGTATTGAAATTATTAAATACTCAAATTATTACTCCAAATATGGGCAACTGTCTTGGGAGTGCTGAGCAATATATCCTATGGAACCTTGTTATTTTGTTCAACCTAGACACATTTTTCTTTTGTCCCCATATTGAAATTGTCTTCCTAGATCAATTTATATCAATGAAGTATATTGTGGAAATGGTTGTGAAAGTTTCTGATAGAGGATGGGCCTATGAGGTTTCGGATAGACTTCAGAGCATAAAGACATATTCAAGAAGGAAAGAGAGGAGGGCATATTAATAAGATAAAGATAAAGCAAGTCTTGGATAAGTCATAAGTCCTCGAGTTTATATATAACTATCTTAAATTTATCTTAATTGTTTTAATTGTTTTTCTCTAGGATTCATGTTATTCTAGTAGTCTTTTACTTATTAGTTTAAATACCTTCATTGTTTACCTTTTTGCAATATAGATCAATTAATTATAATTCAATTCTCTACAATTGAATAGGGAGAGACTGCAACCTCTCGAAAGCTGTAGGGTTTTAATACTCTAATTTTGGCAACCTTTTATCAACTCTTATCAAATTGGTATCAAAGCATACCGCCGCTGTTTTGGATTAGTAATCGTGTTACTATCCACGATTACTGTTCACGATTACTGTTCACTATTCACGAATCACCGGTTATGATCACTGTTCACTGTTAACGATTACTATTCACGCGATAATGACTCGATCAACAACATTGAGGATAGACGAGGTGGAGGGAAGCTTGGGAACGGTCCAAGCGGAGGTGAACTCGTTGAAGGACGACATGCAGAAAGTGATCAAACAAATGGAAACAATGTTGATATCGCAAGACGAAGCACTTAGGAGAGCAGAGAAGAGCGGGGGAGAGGATGAAAGCGAAGACAATGGACAACCAAAAAAGGCGGACTATCACGTAGACAAAAACTACGATACTGGTCGGTTTCTTGCGGTAAGAGGGAGGAAACTAGAGTTACCTGTTTCGAAGGGACAAACCCAGACGGTTGGATATTGAGGGATGAAAGGTATTTCCCTCTTAATAAACTAACCAATGAAGAAAAACTAGAAGTCTCGGTCATTGCTTTTGAGGGTGACGCCTTGCTGTGGTTCCAGTGGGAGAATAAGAGGAGACCCATTAGGCTATGGGAAGAATTAAAAACATTACTGCTTCATCAGTTTAGACCAGCGGGGGAGGGATGTTTATGGCAATTCTTGGCCGTTAAGCAAGACGGCACGGTGGTAGAATACAAAATAAGGTTTGTTATGTTGACAGCCCCGTTAGAAGGGATTCCAGATGAAGTTTTTGTTAGTCAATTCTTAAACGGGTTGAGTCCACAAATCAGGGTAGAAGTCCGCACTCTCACATCGGTGGGATTGGCAAAGGCCATGGAACTAGCTCAGAGGAGAGAGAAAAAACATGATTTTAGCAAAAATAAATAACCCAAAAGATAGCTGGTTGAACAAGCGTAATGGAGAAGGATCTGTGGGAAACAAGGTATTTGTTGAACTCTCCAACAAGAGTAGTGGACAAAGAGGAAAATCTGTCGGAGAATTCAGAAGGTTGTCCGATCAACAACTTCAACAACGTAGGGCTCAAGGTTTATGTTACAGGTATGATGAGAAGTATTCTCGGGGTCACCGATGCAAAAAGCAGGAGCTTAGTTTGTTGTTGGTGCAAGAGGCGGAAGAGTACAATGTCGATGAAGACGCGAAAATGGGGGGGGGGGGGGATGACAGAATTGGCGGGGATAGAAACGGGAGGAGAAGTGGAAGTATCATTGAATTCAATAGTGGGATTGTCAATAACGAAGATTATGAAGTATGAAGCTAGAAGGAGAGGTTGAAGGCCAAAAGGTAGTTGTTTTAATTGACGGCGGGGCTTCCCACAATTTTTTAGCCACGATGTTAGTTGAGAAACTCGGGTTATCTACAAGAATCATTGACGAATATGATATCTCAACAGGAGCGGGAGAAGCCATGATGGGACGGGGAGTATGTCAAGGGGTGAAGCTAAGTATGCAACTAATTGAAGTTGTGGAAGAATTTTTGCCCATTAATTTAGGCGTTAAATGGTTGGCCTCACTGGCACCAACATGGGTGAATTGGCAAAACCAGGTTATGAGATTCAAAAAGGGAGGGAAAACCCTAACCTTAAAAGGAAATCCAGCTCTTGGCAGATCCCTAGTATCATTAAAATCGATGATGAAGACACTAAGAGCTTTGAATAAAAATACAGGATCAGACAAATTTCCAATCCCGATAATTGAGGAGTTGCTAGATGAATTACATGGGGTTGCTTATTTTTCAAAACCGGATCTTAAATCTGGCCATCACCAAATCAGAATAAAGGAGGACGTACACAAGACTGCTTTTAGAACACATGAAGGCCACTACGAGTTTTGGGTTATGCCTTCGGCCTATTCAACGCTCCGTCCACATTTCAAGCACCGATGAACGTATATTTCAACCTTTTTTAAGAAAATTCGTGCTGGTATTTTTTGACGATATTCTGGTGTACAATAGGGACGAAAGTGATCATGTAAAGCACTTAAGGGAGGTCTTTAAGGTGCTATTGCAACTTTTATGTGCATAGGAAAAAGTGAGAGTTCGGCCAAGAAGAACTAGTATATTTAGGGCACGTGGTCTCAAAAAAGGGGGTGTCCATGGATATGACAAAAGTTTAGGCAATGCTCAAATTGCCAACACCAAAAACTGTAGCACAACTAAGGGGATTTTTGGGTTTAACCGGGTACTACAGAAAATTCATCAAGGGGTACGGGCATATTGCAAGGCCTTTAACGGATTTGTTGAAGAAACAAGGATTCAAGTGGCAAAAGGCAGCTGATGTGGCCTTCAAAGAATTAAAGAAGGCATTGACTTCAGCCCCAGTTTTGAAGTTGCCAGATTTTAGTCAGCCATTTGAAATTGAAATAGACGCATCGGGCCAGGGCGTTGGGGCGATATTAATGCAAGCGGGACAGCCGATCGCATACCACAACCAAGTTTTGGGTCATGTTGCTCGACAAAAACACATATATGAGAAGGAACTCATGGCTATCGTATTTGCTGTAACAAAGTGGCGATCGTACTTGATTAGAAGGAAGTTCGTTGTAAGGACAGACCAACAAAGCTTGGAGTTTTTATTGGAGCAAAGGTTGGTGGAACCACAATACCAGAAGTGGTTAACCAAGCTTTTGGGGTACGAGTTTGAAATCATTTACGAGGCAGGAAAGACAAACCAAGCAGCAGATGCACTATCAAGAAGAGACATAGAGTGCTCTACAATGGGCGGACCTCCATAGAGACAATGAGAGACAATCAAAAAGGAAATACCCAATGATTCATTTCTAAATTGGGTAATGTTCGAGCTACAATCACAAGAAGGGGCGCACACAGGATTTGAAGTAAGGCAAGGTTTATTATGGTACAAGGATAGGTTGGTAATCTTGAAGTTATCACGACTGATTTCTATCATTTTGGAGGAATTTCATGCATCACCAATGGGGGGACATTCTGTGGAGGAGAGAACGTATCAAAAAATAGTCTCTGAATTGTTTTAGGTGGGCATGATGGGAGATATAAGGGAATGGGTCAAGAAGTGTGAGGTCTGTCAAAGAAATAAAAACCTAAGTGGAACATCTGCTGGTTTGTTGCAACCAATTCCACTACCGCAAATGGTATGAGAGGAATTGGCTATGGATTTTATAGGACTACCAAAATCGGAGGGCATGGATACAATTATGGTGGTAGTCGATCGGTTAAGCAAATACGCTCACTTCATTCCATTAAAACACCCATTTTCAGCAGCAACAATAGCCGCAGTTTTTATATGGGAGATTGTTAAACTGCATGGCATTCCGAACTCGGTGATCACGGATAGGGATAGGGTTTTTCTTAGCAGTTTTTGGAAGGAGATTTTCTGATTACAAGGTACGAATTAAAGTTCACCACTGCATATCATCCACAGTCCGACGAACAAACGGAAGTTGTCAACCACAACATTGAGCAGTACTTACGGTGTTTTACGTCAGACAAGTCACGACTATGGAAGAGGTGGCTGGCATGGGATGAATATTGGTACAATACTACGTATCACAGCTCCATTCATTGTCACCGTTTAA